TTTATGTAACTAAATTTTCATTTGTTTTCACGTTCATATGCTTTTTGGGTCTGGATTTTGTAAATAATAAATATTTGCATTATTTTTCATTTTTTTTGTAGGAACCAATGGAAGAAGATGATTCCTCAACAACATCTAAATTTCAAGCTACTTTATGAAGGAATTATTAAGTAAATGCAGTATTTTATAATTTTAGATGTTTGGTATGTATTATTTGAATTGTTGAATTTTTTTTACAATGATTAAAAATTTAAAATAAAAAAATGCTTTTTTACGCCAAAGCTTCGCTTGGGCCCGCCTAGGCTCGTAAAGCTTGAAGCTTGGTCTCCACGCTTAGCCACGCTTTACATTTTTTAGAACTTTGCCCCCACAAAGCAATATGTTTGTGAAGCTATGGAAAACCTTAAATTAGATCAGTTATGAATTTATTTTGTTGCTAATTGTCTAAAATTTTCCTAGCTTGCTAAAAAAACCAGAATCTCTGCTTCTGAATATATTAAATTGTTGAACTAACAAAATCTTTTTACCTAATTGTTATTCTAATAGAATGCTGCTTCAATCTTATGCAGTATACTGAAATGAATGATTCAGAAGATGTTCGTACTTCATCGATGGAATCTGACCTCCAGTTTTTTGCGCCTGTATGTTTGATGCATCAATCCTTATCTTTGGAATTATCCTACATTAATTAGACTTGAAGACTAGTACTTCTGTTTGAACTAGTTCTCTCCAATATAGTTTATTATTGCTATATCGACGTAGTAAAAGTCATTTTCTTCCGTGAATGAACAGCCTTCTTTTCTAACTGAAAAGGTCATATTCTTAGTTTGTTGAGTTCATTTCTGATCAAGAAGTTTTCTAGTTTTTCCAATGTGTACCATAATTTTGTCATGTCCTCCTTTTGATGTGTAATTATCAATTCCACTGCTTTAGATGGCTTTGAATTATAATCACTTCTAGAGTAATATCTTAGATAGGAAATGCGATCCAACAACAGGTGCTAATCAATGTGTATATCGTCGTGGAGCTTCATAACTTCCACTATCTAGATTTCTCAGCCTGCTCATGTTTTACCTGTAATTTTCATTGAGTATAATTAATCCACTCTGGGTCAATTGTTTTTTCCTATACCTTCCACCTCATCTATCTCAGATGGGATAGAGTAAAATGTTTTTCCTTATCCTTTTTTATTCTTCAAACCGCATAAATATTACCCCATTTAACGACTTGTCTGGTTGATCGAGCCAAATTTTGCTTCAGATGAAGTTTTTACCTCACAAGTGTCGGTTCTTGTAAATAGCAAGACTTCTCCAACATGCTTTCTGAAATGTTAACTCGGGACAAATGGATCTTTGTTATTTCATGTTTCCGATATCCTAACAGAAACCTTCTACAATTTGTGCTTCAATAAAAACTTCTGTTGCTTCTGGTAGATAAAATCCTTAATGAAAACCATGGCCATTCCGTGTTTTCTATGAATGAGCTAGCCCAATTCAAAAAAGGATTCAGGTTGCACCAGAGACAGCTGTTTTGTTGAACCTCATTTTGTCCAATTCCATTAAGTATTCAGTTCACTGCAATTCAGTACATTGCAGAATTGACTGTTGGGAACGCAAGTTGAGAGAGAAAACTAAATTAATAAAAGAAGAAATAACAAATTAGAAATATGGATACTTTATTTTCAAAAAAGAAAAAAGTATGGAGACTTTGTTCTGAGATTGCAATCATCCATGAAATTATTCATGCATTAAACATTACAACTAAAGAAAACAAAAGTATAATAATAAAAATAACTTTAGAACATAGAAGACATAAAATTTGATTGTTTATGAAGTACATACTCCAGTAACGCATAGACTTATAAACATGAATTACATGAACCGATAGTGTTAATAGTTGATTATGCTGGGGGCATATAGAAAGATATGCTTTGTGTCATCTTATTGAAGGTGTAAACTTATGGTTCTCATGTAGCTTTGTTACAGCACCAGTGCCGAGAATAATTTCCTTTTGGGGGGAAGTTTGCTCAGTCACTGAAATTTTTTTCGGATAATGTTGGCATATCAAGATGCTGCAAGTTCATGACGACATTTGATGGATTATAGTTGATATTGTCTCTTTCATACATATGTTGGATGTATAAGTTTGTATCTCCTGCAGCTACCATGTTTCCTGATAGAAGGTCCTCATCTTTGTGTTCATTAGATATCATCTCTGTAAGTATCTGAAAATCCAGACCCCAATTCTCCCTGTTAGGTTGGCCAGGTAATGAATTGAAGAAACTCTGAAACAAAGAATTTGTTTCCCGAGTATTAACTGTCCCGAGCCTGTGACGATTAATTGTTTCACTATCATTGTTTTGAAAGGTTGCTCTAGGAATAGTTTCAATTTTCGGGTCATGTCCATTGAGTAAGGTAGCTAATAGGTGACAGCCATTTGATAAAAAATAATCTGGAATCGTGTCTCTGCCATCATCATTATAAACTGAAGGGAGTTCCTCAAACCTAGGAAGGTACTCCATAAGTTCACCAGAATTATGTTGAACCTCCCATGCATTCTTTGACTTGTTGCCTTTTTGTCGAACACGGCACAATACCCAGTCATCCAGCTGCATAAAACGATAACTTTTCCGTTATGCATGATTCCTTACACTTAAATACATATTCACATAATCTATGATACGTAATCACATGCTTAGACTTAGACATTTTATTATCCAATGTAGTTATTGAAAATTTTGGGCATAGAACTTATTGGTAGCTGAAGAGTTTACTAATCTAAGCTCTTTGAGTTCAAAGCTAAGATACGTCAGCAATAATTTGCTAAATGAAACAAGTAGATATATTGACTAGACCGTTGAAATCGGAAATATAACCAAATGTGTGTTTCGTACTCATTAATCATTGCTATATTGTGACTTTAGGCACCCAAGTTTGATCGGAAAACAATTTTCTGCTCACAAAATAGCTTTTGCAGACAATCAATTTCAGTAATCAATGACAAATGTGAAACTGCTTACTCTCATGGAACCTTTAGACCTTAACGGTCTAGACGTCGTGTCAGGCAGTCTGTACTCAGTCATGATCCAATCTGTCTTGACCCCCTTTGGTGTTTTACCTTTATAGAAGATAAGATCTTTCTTAACCCCTATCCGTCCTGATCCAGAAGAACCAGCAATGGGCTTATCGGTGCCAGTAGCCTTCCAGAAACCTGAAGCTGCTGTTCTGTTTGGTCTTCCCCCGTTTGGGTACTTCCTATCCCTTGGGGTGAAGAAGAACCATTCATCTTCTCCAAACACAGCCTTCTCTATATGTTTCAAAAACCAAAAATAAAAGAACTATAATATCCTGGAAATTTAATACTATATCTGATAATAAACACAAACAAAGAGAAGTTGGTAGAGAACAAACTGGGTAGCTCCCAAGGGTTATACTTATAAAGCTCTATATCAGTCATCAGGTTTGCTGGAAGTGGAAGAGACTTTACTTTCATCTGCAAGTAATAAATAATTAGTTCTTCATCAGATGGATGAAATCTTATTCCTGGAGGAAATTTAGAATTGTTGATGGACTTTTCATCCATTGAAATGTTTTTCTCTTTTTCTTTTTTCCCTCCGAGGGCACTCTGGAAAATAGTCTCTCTTGCAAGAACAGTGCCAAAGTATATAAGGTGCGAGTTTATGGCCTCATGCAGATGCAGACATTCCTTAAAATATTGAATATACGGAGAAAAGATAACTTATGTGAGGTTTATAGAAATAGATGGGGAAAGCAACGTTTTGCTCATGAATTTTCCTATGTCTCTCCCTTAGAAAAGAAGCTTTAAAAATTTTTAATGCTTGATACTATTTTACGCGTGCATTTTTATGTCGCTACTCTTCAACTTGTCATGTCTTTGTGGAGTCTGCATTGATAGAAAAGGATATTGTATTGAGTTTTTGATTGCCTGTTATTATGCAAAACGTTTCAATCTCTAATATATAGAAAATTTCAACTAATGAAAATCCGTCTCTGATGAGCCATAAAATGGTAATTACTGGATAATTCGCAAATATATTTTCTTAAACCAAAATTTAGTAGCTTGTACACACATCGTAGGGGCAAAAAGAAGTGAACAAAATACTCATTCATGCTGTGTCTAATTTACTTCCAGGTTCAAAAATATTAACTTAATTGATTAAATACTGCCACTGTTGTTTTAGTTTATCTGATTCTGCTGTGTTTTGTTTCAAACTACTTCATTGGAGTAATTATGTCAAGTGCTTCTGAAATTTAAATATAATATAGACAGTATATTTTTTTTTTTTAAATTTGGATAATTGGTCTGAATGTGACTTCTTCAGATACTGCTTTCCACCGTAGACATACTTTTCAAACAAAATTTTAAGATCAAGACCTTTTATTGTATATGTATAGATTCTGTTTTTACTCTTTCTGATCTTACATGCTCAAATTATTGACGTCGGGCAGAATAGTGATTATTCTGCACACTGAAATGCAGTAGATAATTAAAAGAGAAGAACGCAAGAGAAAATGCCAAGAAAAACAAGAAAATTCTTTATTATTCATCCAACAAACGAAAATAACCCACAAGCCGGGTTATATAAATAATCATAATTATCGGAATTTTACCAAAAATAGCAAAATTTCAATATTCATACTAAAAGAAAATACGTAATAAGAGAAATAATATCCCAAAAATCCGGCTCAATTCGAGTTCATAATCTATGTTAAAAAGGCAAATGAAATATTACTAAAAAGGCAAAAAAATAACTTAAATTGGAGATTCGGAAAGGAAAATAGCGGAATTTGTCCTTGAAATCGATGCACATCGAGTGAAGCTGGGTGACCACATCGTGCGGGCCAAAAAGAGCTTTTCAAATTCAGGTCATGAGTGCGATTCTGATAACCGTAGCCAAAGTTATGGGCAAAATATCGAAATATGTCCAAAAAGGGCCTCAATTAGAAAAGATCGTCGATTACTTTCCATTTTGTGCTGATCCGCCAACTCATAGTATCTCAGCACCATCAACGAGCTATCAAGCAACTCGGCATCATGTGACTCGGATCCTCCTGCATCAACTATTCTCCAACCCGAAGTTCACAGAGAGTTATACGTGTCGTTTCCTGTATTGATGTTATAGAACAAGCATAAGAGCCGCACAAATTGCTGGCCTAATTTCTTTCATTATATTGCATGTAGTTTTTGGCTTTTTCTTTAACCTTTTTGTTTGTTTCCCTGTTCATAGGCTAATATGCATGTCAAGAACAAATACATGCACATTATATAATTTATATAGTTCTATGATTCTAGTATAAGTGAATTCTGATAAACTTGTATGTCAAAGTTGTGTATGTTGTGCAAAAGGATGTCTCTCTCACCCCCCACCCCACCCCGGGGCCCATAATTGTTGCGTCGATAGCGTATTTGTAATGGTTTTAATTAGTTACACACACTTGATATACATTAAGTTTAACACTCCATGTGTTGTCTAAATTTGTGTCATTAATTGTTTAAAGCATTGTTACAATCAATGTGTAAAAAGTTGTCACCTCAAAATAATGTCAAACGTAATGTCAACAAAGATGTACATATAGCTACATGATTGATTTGTAATAGTGTATTGTATTATCTATAGCCTTTATGAGCAGTACAATCGACAATATCCATGTCTGATGTTGTCTCTTAGCAGAAGACTACAGATTTAGATCTATTTAGTGTTAAGAGAGAGAAAAAATATGCCTAAAACCTTGTTAAAATCGAACTAAATGCCGTCTTGTGAGACAAAAAAGACAACTAATCCTAGGGAATATATGGTTTATTATGTATTATTTAATTTCTTTAGTGTTAAGAGAGAGAAAAAATATGCCTAAATCCTTGTTAAAATCGATCTATATGCCGTCTTGTGAGACTATAAAGACATCTAATCCTAGGGAATATATTGTTTATTATGTATTATTTAATTTCTCAACTTGTTGCTAATGGTAGCTCAACAAGACTCAGTCTCTCTGAAATAACAAAGTAACCAAGATTGAATCTTTAATCCACATGCTAAGAACAACTGGATGGATGATATTTATGCAGATAATTCTTATTTCAGAAATATCGGTATTTCTAACTGTAGTAGTTGTGACTTTTAAGTAGAGATGATAGAGCACTCGGAAGGTACATATGATCTTTTTGGAAGGGTTGTCCTTGGGTTGGTTGTTTGATAAAAATATAGTCAATTATCATAAAATAATGAAGGAACCACGAAGAGTGAAGACGAGAAAAGTAGAAGCAAAAAATAATCGAATCTTCTTACGATGTTCTAAACTCAACTCACGTTCACTTCAGTCAGCGAACAACTGAACTCTTGAGACCTTGTTCAACTTCAAGATGTGATGAATCGACATCAAGATATCGGTGGCTTTGTACTTTTTCCTTCATGTTAGCTATACACTACAGGATTGTCCCTTGTGTTGGAGCAGTTGTGGCCATTTTTTTTATTTTGCAACTTGACGGTAAAATCTGAATGTAGACATATTATTGACTTCTCGAGCTTAATGTTAATATATTTTTCTTATATCTAGTAGGATTGTTCAACCTTATTACAGATTATTATTAAACAGAAAAATTGATTTAGAGTCGAAATAGGTTGGTTTTTATTTAGAGAAATTTAGGTCCAGCCATTCTCTTAATTTTTTATACTGGACGACTATTGAGAACTAATTTGAAAAATTAGGGGCATGTTCAATTTGCTGTTTTCAGGCCATTTTCAGTTTTCGAAAATACTGCAAACACGTTTACTTATCTATTTTCATAAACAAATTTCCAAAAACAAGTTTAAAATTTACAAAGAAAACTGAAAACGCAAAAAAAATCGTTTGGCTGTTTTCAGTTAAAACTTCATTTTTTTTATTTTTGAAAACGATTTTTCAAAATGACAAAAAGAACTCGTTTTTGGCAATCTCAAAATGAACACTCAAAACACAAAATTCAAAATGAATTCAAGATTCAAAACTAAAAACTGAAACATGAAGAGAACAGCTCCTAGACTTTTTGAAAGCAATTAATGCTATTGTATTTTTCTATCATATACTAACATTAACCATTATATATTTTTGGTGATATACACGCAAATCATCCAGATTTATCTAAACCCTAAACCCTAAACTTCATTTTTAACACAATACATTTCAATTGATCAACAACTTTTATCTACTTTTTAATCACATATTTCTTGAAATTCGTCGATTTATAATTTCAAAACGCATTGTCAAACAGAAACTAGGTCCTTTTTTTGTCGCAGGGAAGCTAATTTAGTGTAGTGCGATCACTAGTTGTTTTCGTTCTACCAGTTTGTTAACAACAACATCCAAGAGAATCTTTGGACATCGACGAGAATGGTGCAGCTACCTTGAAATTAAAAATTGTATATATGCATATTGGCTTTCCCAAGAGAAGTAGGGTTTAGAAAATTTAGGAGAAAATCTTATAAATAAGTGCATTTGTGGGTGTGTCAACATTCTTCAGGGATCGAGGTGAAGAATCATTGTCGTTCAAATGGTAAGATCCGAATGCTTGAATCCAAAAGTGGTTGACTACAAAGAATCTTATATATTTTTCATGAGGAAAAGGCAACGAAGAGACTTAGTGTTACCCCAAAAAATTGATAGATTATGACATATTTAGTATAGTAAAAGTTCAAGAATTTAATTATAAAAATAATTGAAGTCTAAAAGTGACACATTTTACCTGGTCAAAATTTGACGGAATTCAATAGGTTGATCAAAATTCAAATCCGAATTTTAGTTTAATAAAAGTCAAAACTTGAATTTAATCGCATATGATAAGTTTAACCATATACTTGGAAAAGTTCTATATTGCTTAGAACTTAATTATAAAAATAATTGAAGTCAAGTTTTTATGATACTACAATAATCTAATTAAGCCTTTTTTTCAGTAAGGAAACAAGGCTTATTTAGAGACTTGTGGTATATTCTCTTTGCTGTTTTCAGACCAATTTCAGTTTTCAATTTTCGAAAACACTGAAAACACATTTACTTACCTGTTGTCAGAGACGAATTTCCAAAAACGAGTTTAAAATTTACAAAGAAAACGGAAAACGTAAAAAAAAAGTCGTTTTGACTGTTTTTACGAATTTCCAAAAACGAGTTTAAAATTAACAAAGAAAACGGAAAACATAAAAAAAAAGTCGTTTTGACTGTTTTCAGTTAAAACCAAGCCAAAACTTCATTTTTTTATTTTTGAAAACAATTTTTCAAAATGACAAAAAGAATGCGTTTTCAACAATCTCAAAATGGATACTCCAAATACAAAATCCAAAATGAATTCAAAACTTAAAACTGAAAACTGAAAAATGAAGAGAACAACCCCTTAATTTTTGAGCTTTTCACAAGTTTTTTGATCTCTAAGAACTAATTAATCTTGAGTTCTTGAAGTAGGTTTTTGTTTTTAGGATCTCGGTCAAATCTTGGGTGCCACTTGAGAAACTCGAGATTATTCATCAAATTTCGTTATATTCAATTCTTAAACTCTACAAGTATGGGTATAAGATTTGTAAAAGTTTTAGCTTTTTA